TGTCGCGAGATGACAATGGTTCAGAACAAAGGGTTATATGAGTGCGCCTTTAAAATGGGAAATGATAAATTACCAACAGTTTCACCATGTTTTTTTCACCACACAATACTAAAATTTACTTATCTTATCGTCATACATTGTCACAACGTATTGGCGATGAACATGTATAAATTATATGCTTGTGTCAAATAAAATGTTTGTTCTGTACCGTGGTCAAACTAAAAACAACTGACTGCGAGGTTGGTCCCTGCATAACGGAAATTGTGCCAAGGACTAATGGATGTTACTTTTGGTAACAAGAAAACTAGCCATTATTTTTTAAATTTGGATTCATTTATTATGAATAGAATGATAAGGAATAAAATGAATATAATGAAAATAGATATTTCACGTGTGGCAGTAGCCACGATTGAAATATGCAATTTTCATACCACAAGATAGATCCTGTATTAATAAAAAACACTTGAATTTTCTGTTTATCATATACTTTTCGTCTTTTTTAACCATTTTTATAAGAACAAATCTCTTTGGCTAAATTTAGAAGAAAGTAGTCCGGCAAGATATCAGTGAAAATACGGAAAATATGTTTCACTGCAGTGAAATAAAAACAGTGAAAATACGGAAAATAAAAATACCATATTATTTCTCAATATTTCATTATAAGTAGATCTATATAATAAATTACTATATATAATTTATCTACAAAGCTATATTATAGTTAAAATATGTTATAACAAAAACGCAACAAAAAATAAATGTGTTTTATTATAGAAACGATTGAAAGTTTATGTATAAGGCTGACAAAATTGTTCATTATTCTCCTTTGGAACGTAACTTGAAACTAAAAGGTCATTAATTTTACAATGAACTCATTTATGCCCGGCTAATGTCTTCTCAATAACATGATTTGACCACGCTTTAACCCCCTTAAGGCTTAATTAAGGGAAGCGCAGAATAATCTACTGAATACACTTTTATACAATTACTCTAGTCAATGCATACAATTATATGCATCATATATATTTATTTAAATATATCTATTTGTAACGTGACAAGTTAAATAGTAATAGGTCACATAAAAATATAAATTTTATCAGAGTTATATGAATAGATCGAAGAACACCTTTCATTTCAAAATGTCAAAACATGACCGTTTAGTAGGTCTTTTATCTTACAGCATCTTCTTAACTATATACTAATCACGCCTACAACAAATGTAATTTTGAACAACATTTGAGCCGATTCACGACAAAACCAACATAATGGGTTTGCGACCAACATGGATCAAGACCAGCCTGCGCATCCGCGCAGTCTGATCAGGATCTATGCTGTTCGCTTACAAACACTATTACAAGTAGAGAAACAAACTGATAGCGAACAGCATGGATGCGCAGGCTGGTCTGGATCCATGCTGGTCGCAAACCCATTATGTTGGTTTTGTCGTGACGCGGCTGATTTCTTCTGTATAATTCTTCTGATAGTACATCTCGGAAGGTACCCATTCCTAGTATCCCAACATATAATTGTAAACACGTTAGAGTGTTTAGAATATTCGGTACTTATGTGTCTTTTCCGTTGATTTTTCCCCAGCCATTTTTAGTCACACAGGGACACACAAGTAAATACGGAATGAATAGGATCTCCAAGTCACAGAACCTCTGGGTTGACGTTATTACCTGAGATGCGACAGTCTGAAGTATGACGTAGAGCCGAAAAAATATGCGAGTCGTATAATATATAAAATATTTAAAAGTTATTTTTACATATACTGCGTGTTTTTAAACAAACTATTGACAAAACTGTTTATTATTTCCAAATTCACAAAGAACCTTGAAACGTAACTCGAAACCTATAGATCTATTTCATTAATTTTTCAATGAACTCATTTACGCCCAGCTCGTGATGTTTACAACGTTCAGCCCACTAAAGGGGGATTGTGTGATGATTGTACCAAAAAGAAATTTTACAAAATAACTTCAGTGCAATTATCTATAACTATATGTAATAAATCAGAGGAAGAATAAATAAATGATTACGTCATCATACAGTCATTATACATGTAGTTACATGAACAGAACAAAGTCCTTTTCAAAATGCAATTAGAAAAAAAAACATTGAATCGTTCTTACTGTCCATAATTATGACATAGGCCAATTCAAAGAATGTAAAAATTCGGTATATATTTTAATGCACATGTTTTAACGATTCGCATTTTTTTTGAGATACTTTCTCTATATGCACTGTGGCAGACTTGCCGGAGTACTGCATTTGATAAAATGGTCGGAAAACAATTTAAATAATAGTGTCTAAAACGGATATATGTTTTACAATTTCTGTACTCATATATATACTGAGCTGTTTGAACCTGAAAAACTAGAACAAATAAATGATAATAATCTAAATGCACATATCGTGAGAAATACTGAAAAAGGCGGAGATATGGTATTAATTGATTTTCATCGATATACTCTCACATTCCACAACAATGAGTGAGTGTCTTACACATGTGTACATGAATCACTATTTCATTTCCTCAATAATTATCCCATACCCGACCACAATAATTTAAACACTTAAACATTGTGTGTAATAAATACAAATGTAGACCAAAAGGCGGGACAGGGGAACTGTGACTAAAGCGGACCAGTTTGTTTCATAAGTTTCTATTGCTTTTGTGAACTATGATAACATGTATAGCGTTCGTATCGTATTAAATTGAATTGTATAATGTTTACTATTTATTATTTAAAAACAAATAGTTTTCTATCTAAATACAAATAAACGAAATCGTTTATCTTTATTAGATAATAATAATAATAATCATGATAATGATGATCAAAATAATAATAATAATTATAATTATAATAATAATAATAATGATAAACAAAACCAAACAAGCAAAATAACCAATAAGACAAACAAGAATGACTAGAAAATCACGCTCACCAACATTCTTGTAAATTTTCATGCCTTCAAGTCAAATAATATGCATGAACAAGTTGAAAATTGCAAATTTATTCTAAGTCAAGGGCATTAACAAAACTGAAAAAAAAAATGAAATGCAAAACTCCAGGTTCACTTCTTCACAGTGATCATTTGGTCATTATTTCTCTAAAGTTGGTTGATTCTAACTCAAGCACTTGATGTGAAAGGAACACATAACATAACATAATGGAACGAGTTTAACTTAGTCACGGGTAATTACTCTTCAAATACTGAATAAATCCACATTCAAACCCCAAGGTGCACAACTACATATGCCAACCAACATTTCTGTAAAGTTTCATGACTTTATATCAAATACATTTTAGCTACACACAACCCATGTTGAAAAAGGCATTCTTTTACAAATTCAAGCGCAATGACTGTAGAAATGCTGAATAAATCCACAAGCGAACCCACAAGTGCACAACTACACATGCTGAGCAACATTCCTGTAAAGTTTCATGACACTAGGTCAAATACTTTTTGAGCTATGTGCGACAACATTTTGAAAATTGCAAGCGACACGCCAGGTGCACAACTTCACATGTCCCAGGTTCACAACTTCACATGCTGCTGAACGACATTCCTGTAAAGTTTCATGACTCTGGGTCACATACTTTTGAGTTTCGTGAGACACAAGTTGAAAATTGCAAATTTTTACTAAGTCAAATAACTCCACACGCAAATACTTACATTTCTGTGAAGTTGCATGACTCTAGGTCAAATACTTTTGAGCTACTGCCACACAACATTAGAACGGACGGACGGACAATGGTAAATCTAAACCCCCCCCCCCCCCCCCCCCACACACACACGCACACATAAAAAAGATGAAATGAAAGAAATCGGCATGTTTTGTTTTTGAACTTGTTTAAAGCTGTAAAGCGTGTTTTATTTAATTATATGAGATATGTCCACATGTAATCTGGATCATGTCCCAGATATATGTATTTATTCTTGGTAGAGCTATTAAGTTACGCTGTAATATATAGCAATTGTGTAAAGATTGTGTTGCACGAGATTTTCGTGCATCAACTAAGCATATCTGATTTCTATATAAAGTATCGAAAGGTTTTTTTTTTTCAAATCAATCGCATTGCTTTATTCGCATGTCTATTTTCCCATCCCATGCCTCCCACCCCTACAATTTGATTGAGGACACCGGTATCATATCAGGTTATTGTTGTAAAGAAAAAGCTCATTTCGATGGGTATTCATTTCCTGTTATATTTAATAGTTGATGCTTTCGTTCAAGTATGGAGTGAGAAGAGGCAAAGTTCAATTAATGATTTATATTTAAATTTATTTCTGTATTTCTGATATAAAAAAGCAATGAAATTGGCCAATCCTAATTATGTCTCGTTGTTTGTTATGCTTAATAGCTTTTAAAGAGAATAAATAATTTATTTTCGTTTGAACAAGCGAATTAGAAAATAAAATACATACCTTACAGTTATATAGATATTCGAAATATGAACTCTATTTACAGCATTACGTACTTTCATTAATTAAAGACTATACATGCTGTATATGAGATCATATGTGAGTTATTTTGGTATCATTTGCTAATATGTGTAATTTTTCTTTTCGAGTATAAATGTATAAGTAGAATCTATAAACATATGTTGATCATTGTATAAAGCTGTTCCCTATACTAGTAATTAGTTTTTATTGTAAGCGTCTTTTATATCAATCCCCTCCCTCTCTCGAGTTGTTTATATCAAAAGATTCATTAACGATCTCTGTCAGGTGGCGATTCTATTGATCTATTAACACCGCTGTGAACCCCAATCTTTTTATTTACTATTTACGCGCCACCTACTAAATATTAGGCCAAAACCAATTTTCTTTGGTTTTTAAGAATGCGCAAAAATACTGTATAAATATTACAATATAAAATCTAATAAAAATGTAAATCGAGGACAAAAAGAGCTGTTTATCAATGTTTATTTTTCCTGGGGATAGAGAAATAAATAGTTTTGTAATATTTTGGTGTCGTTGAGAACAATAAAATCACTTGATATGCTGGTGAAGTGGTCGTAAACGGGGTGTTTCCTTTTAAGAAGTGTATACATGCGCTCGTCATAACCGCATGAACATTAATGACGTATCCATATCGATTTATTTATACCTGACTTTAGTCAAGCATATTTCAATTCAGCTTCATCACTCGAGGCGAAAGGAAGAGATCGTTTCATTATTTTGGTGTATTAGTAAATAATCACTTTAAACGCTCTGTTTTGCGATAATAAGAATTCAACATTTATTTCACCTGTGTTTAAACGGAAAAAGAAGTATGTGGACTTACAGTTTTTTGGTTTTAATATTTGTCGTCGTCGGCGTTTTAGCTGAGGATAAGTCCGTGACTGTCGGTAATATAACGACAAAGGTTAAAGGTCAGTCTGGGAAAATTGCAGTCTACAGAGGAATGAATGAGAGCGATGGTATAACGATCACTTTCGACGCAATTGAAGAAATAGACACCAACGACGTCAAAATTCAAAGCCATTCGTACAACAACTTTGCTCAGCTTACGTTTACCTTCTCCAACCCTGAAAATACTACTTACATCGATTCCAACGTTACCGTCACACAATTTTCATTCACGTCGAGTATAACGATAGACGGAACTACCGCAATGCTGACTTCATACGTTTTTATATTTACGTCGGATGGTAATATTACAGTAGACGGGAAAAGCGAAGAGGTCATGGCCGGGGATATGAAGTTTAACGCGGAGATTGAGAATTGGCCATTTTGTAATACTTGTCAGAAAGGAAATCAGCAATATACTGGAAAGTACCTCGATTTTTCGGTTGAAATCAAGGGAAAGAAATCGCCGAACGCCACAAGCGGTGGCAAGTACGATCTTGGGGACGGATTATCAGTGCTGACACCAAAACAGGTGAGATTTATTTTCTGTTATAGATGTACATCAAAAATGACGTACAACGTATGAATGTACCTGGAGATGAATGCCAAATTGTATTTTGTAGCAATAACTTTTACTATCTTATAAGTGAAGACGTACTTAAGTTAGCTATGGCATAATTATATCATTAAAATTGGAATAAACTATGTTTTTAGATTATCATAGTACTGCACGTTTGTAACGTCGCTTTTCATTGGATAATTGTGACGTTTATATAGTTTTATATACACGGTTGCTGTCGATTAATTAAAAGAAATCTCGCTTTAAATATTCCTCATAAAATGATGCTTGCTGTATTATAAATTCGTTATAAATATTTCTGACAGGTTATATGGCCGTTTATACACAAGATTTACTCATGAAGTACGCAGAGTGGTTTAATTTGACTAGTACGAGTTTAAGAAAAATAATATATAATTGGTTGCTCATCCCATATAATGAAAAATACTCATTTTCAACTGTCACGACTGTTGATTATTTGGACCACAAGTTAAGGAACACATAGTAGAGCTGTTCTTGCCACTAGATCTAGAAGAAAAAAATATCATAAAATAACGTTGAAATCCAATTCCTTGAGTTAGTTAACTGTATCAAGACGTACACAATTTTGGGTAAAAACAATGAAAGTTTGGTCAACGTTAATACTAGGTTATTTTGATCCAGTGTCAGGTGTAGTTTTATGGACTAAATACGAAGCTTTGATCAAGTGGAAATAACTTTATATAACCATTGGTATAAAGCCTATCTCATAAAGAATACGACACATTTCCTTTTAACTTTGTCTTCAAATGGAGATTTAATGCATTTGAATATGCATAAAAATGTCATAAAATTGCTATCCACTCGTGACTTTCAAGATTACAAATGTACTTCCGGATTTACCTTATTCATAGCACGCGGCGGGTGACGCCACCTCTATATTATTGTATATGTTACCTCTACATACTGATTAGTCGCCGGTAGAAACCGGCGACTATATTTGTAATAGTTTAATATTATACCTATGGTAGGAGAAGCCCTTAAAATCTGAAAATAAAAGCATATCAATCATTGAACAATTAAAGACAACAATTCTTTTTCAGTTATCACAAAAAATCAAACATATGATAACTTTGCTCAGTGGAATGAAATATGTACATACTGACGTCTTAAAAAGCAACATTACAATTTTCATAAAATGAATCAATAACGTATCCCAAAGGATCAGTCATTGAATATTAGAGATATTTTTACTTTTTTCTATGTGTCAAGCATTGCTATTTTATAATAAATAAATCATGAATGATATTTGAAATGACACTTTAGAATTATTTGGTTGTTTATTTTTTATGAGACCTTTTATATTACATTATTTTATCTAATTATAAACAAATGCTCCCTGGTCTTTCGTAAGGGGGCAGGGGACCTAAAAATGAACAATTTTGTATTTCAGTGTGACCAGAAACACAATTCCAAATATTTCAAAATCTGTTTCACAGGCAGATAACCAGTTGCACAGCATTATTCAATGATATATGACATACATTGAAGAAAATAATAGTTTGCATGCATTGCTCCTTCAAAAAATGACTGACAGCAATTTATATTTACCCCCACCCAGCGAAAATCACACCTAAAATATACCAATATGAGCAATCTTCGTGAAGGTGCAGCATACTCTAGAATCCGCCCGATTCCTTTAAAAATATCAGTAACACGCAGTGCAAGCTATGGCATTTTCAGAAATGACCAATAAAGTGTCTGTCATACGTTTAGATTTTTCACAAAATTTATCTGAAATTTCTTACTTGTTTGGCGCCAACTGTCAAAGCTTGATTTTTAACTTTTTCACCTCCATTCGGAGAGTCAGAAATACATATAAAGCTACCAAAATGCTTAGTTTCGGGTAAAAACCCAAAAATACTTCTCATTTCCTACACACAAACAAGAAAGAATTACAATGACAGAGAAATATCAGAAGTTATCAGTACCTTCAAAACACCATGTCTGAGTTATAAAAAAATTTGAATATGTCATTCGAATATGTCCCCTGCCCCCTAAGAATCACGTGACTACATGTTTATATATGTTGTATATCGTTATAAAATCTATTAATAGTTACAGATTGCTGATAAGACAGGTAACTTGTTAATGGTGGTAACTGATAAGATGTACATGTATATCATTGCAATTTTGTACAGATAATTACATAAGTTATTTTTCATTAATCAGGTTCATACTTTATATCATAAGAGAAACCTGTTTACATTAAAAATACATTTTCAAAACCTTTTCCTTTCTTCTTGGTAAAGGGTTTAACTTGGCCCTTTCTGTCAAACATTCGACAAGAAAGTTCATTTGTTTACTTTAGGTTGAACATCCCAAAGTAATGTTTAAGAGGCACATTATTGAAATATATAATGGTAATAGTTGATTTCGGTATATTCCGTCGGTTTCCGTCACCCAGGTTTCCAAAACGGTATGACGTCAGGGGTCCGGAATCGTATTAGATACATGAAAAATTTAATAAACTATCTTTGTGTTGATAGTTTATCGCACTGAAGGGCAATTAAACGTTAATTTTATATATCGTATGTAACGATTGGAATACGTGTATTGATTTCAACTAAATAATATATTTTTTTATAGCACATAATAATGATGTACAGCACTTTTACAGTAAAATTGTATTGTTTCATGTAATAATTAAATATATATTTTCATAGTTACTTTGCAAATATTTGATGATCGGTAATTATTTGTCGGAAAGTATCTGAATCTGAAAAAGTCTAGTAACCTATACGGATTTCAATGTATGGTACAACAGTATATGCTTAAAGTATAATTACAAGAAGAATTACCAGCATAGCACTTGCCTTACAAGCCTCAGTGGCAAACATTACTCAACTCATTGTTCCTCTTATTTTAATTTTATACTTGAACCATTTAACTTATATTGTACCATCTTATTTCCTACAAAACTTCTACAAATAAAAACTAAAAACACTCGAATGCAATATGCGAGAACGCTTGTATTTAGGGACAGTACACAAGATGACATAATAAACGTGCAAATACATGTATAGCATAAAGCAATAAATATTGTAATTGGTTAATAAATTTTATCTCTGTCATATAAATGTTTTGCAAATCGTGGTCGACTCGTCCAGGAAAAACCAAAAACAAAAAACCCCTTTTAAAGTTTTTGAATTGATTTCAGTGTTATTTAAGGGAAAATATTTTTGGAAACCTGTGCCCATTTGCCATCACAGGAAAGTGACTGTCAAATACCACCGAATGTTGGGCCTCATCCTTGCAAAACATTTAACATTTATACAAAACGATGTAAAATGTCTACACTATGTTTCCGTTAAAAATTAAACAATACATTTTATTTAGGCAAAGCTTGTACGCTTTTAAAATATTGTACATTTCACATAATAATTTTGGCATTGAATTTGAATGTGTGAGTGTCCCTAAGAGTTGCTCGCTAGAAACTGATTTCCGAATATGAAAACCCCGATTAAATACAGCTCGAATCATTCGAGCGAACAAAGAATGTACATAAACCGGTTTTGTATTAAAAACGCTAGTACAAAGGTACTCATCTATACGTTGTAACGATGAGTACCAAATATTCTTATATTTATGATAATACAATCGTTTTTCTATCCGGCGATTTGATGCTTTAGCATCAAAATCTCTACTTGTTGTCACCTTTTACAATATAATTAACATTGTATCGATCTTGAATGCAATCTATGATAAGAACCATTAAATCACCATGGAAACTTGTAATTCATCATATCACGTCTTATAGATTGATTATAAGAGCTTGTGATAACGGTTCATTATTCCATCGTATTTCACAAACCAATCAGCATTAATTAGATAGACTGGTTTTGTTATAGACGGATGTATATGTCAAATAAGCACGACAATTTGTGACACAGTCTGTCCAAGCACGTGTCATAAGAATGCCATTGCATGCAAGTAATTTAGGCGCGGGGAACATCCAGTAACATAAAAAAAACTCCTTCATCGATTTTATAATGATTTAGTTGATTTTTCAGTTGTAGACTGATTGTTTCGCCGTAACTTCCGGTATATTTATCTGGTTTAATTGTCCCTTTCCTTTTTTCGCAGACAAATTTGCTGGTTATTCACCATCATTTACCCAGTACCCATGCAGTATTTTCTGCATAATGCCATTACTAAATATCAGACAAAATTATTGCTTTTATTTTGGTGTCAACAGACAAGGATAAAGTTGGATCTATTGTTGACGATGTACTAAGCAGCCAATGTTTCATGCACGACTATCTATTTTTAAAGATACATCGTGTGTAAGAAAGACTTCATAGCTGGCACCTTTTTTAAGCGACAGCTAGCAATACAATGTTAGATCTACTTAATACAATGAAGTTGGGTTTTTTTCATCTCAAGGTGATATTTGACAACACGACTACTGAGGACATGCCAAGTGGCTACCCAAAACTAGAAGTGAAAGGCTCTAAACAAACTTTCATATTCCGTTTCCGAAAATTCGACAAGTCAGCACTTTATGACCCAATTGTCTCCGTAGGAAATGAAGATGGCGGTGACGATGGTGGAGATGACTCCGGCACTGACACAGAAACCGATGTTGCAACATCAGGAATTTCTGCAAAAGTATTGGGGAAATCCGGAAAAATCACTTTGGCACAGACTAAAGGTATATCGTTATTTCATCTACATCATAAGTCAAGATATGTTTTAATAAAGCTAAGGAATGAATTCTAAAAAGAAATCAAGTCTTGTACAAATTATAATATTAAGATAAATTTATAAAACATGCATCATAAACTTGTAAATGTTCGTCGTATTTCCTCACTTTCATTGTCTGTATCTGACCGCTGTCGGAATAATTGATACGGAAAATGACGGAACTCGCCGAATATATACTTAAACGAATTTTTATATTATATTGATTATTGACAAGGTATTCTGCCTCTGACACTTAGTACTTATTTTAATGTTTGGTATTAGTATGTTTTATTTTGTAAACCAGTGTACCAATCATAATATTACATAACCCCCTAACTTGATCATAGCTCTTTTAGCTTAGTGCAAAATATTCACTTTAAACAGGATATTCATTAAAAGAAATTTATTTAATTGTTGTTATATCTTTTTGTTTTCACCGACGCAAATTTTATTTTTGTTTATTGGAACATATCACTATGCAACATGGAGTTAAGGCTTTAAATTATATATAACCCATCATAACTGTAAACAACTCATTTAATTATGTCTTGTTAACTTCGGCATCAAATATTGGAATAAGGCTAAGCACGATTCTAAAGTTAACGCTTTACTAGCACTAGTATATAAAATTTTCTTTGTTGAAACCAAAATTTGAATAACTGTTTGTATAAAACTTTAAATAAGGGAGAAGGAAGAAATGAAGGCTGTAATCATTTTTATTAAGTTTATTGTCAAGTTTCGAATATGAATTAAGAAGTTTCTGTAATTGGCTCACCCGCACAAAGCTCCCTTTAAGATATTTCTGCCTGTATGAATTAAATTGAATTTCATTTCGGCAAACGGCCAACTATCTTTTCATATTCTTTAAAATTTTAACTTTATATAAAAGAATGAATAAATAGAAAATTTATGGAATATTTAGTAACTGCGCAAATTATGTGTCAAAAATATTGATTCATGGTGTATTTCAACATCGCAAATAAAGTATGGAGTGTCTGTATTGGTGTACACATGATGATATCTCAATAGATGTCCATCACTGATTGCCAAAGTTATGGCGTCTAAATGTCACGAATGTGGTTCATTATATTGTCGTAAATGAGATCACTTGGCTACCGGAAGTAGATATTCATATCTCACAGTCAGGAAACACATTTCTAGCCACACTTAGACAGATCAATGCTTGTTTATGGACAAACTATGATCACTTAAATATATTTCAAATGTTTATCATTAGCTTTGATATATAAGAAGGAAGTTAACGGAACGTTCAAATATATTATTCATAATTCAAAAATAACAGCAAAGGATATAAAATGAAAACCTTACACCAATACACTCACGTTATGTGAACTTATGATTATGATACTTTGACGATATTTTTCCAATTTACGTTCCAATTCATGCATTTGTTATAAATGGGTGTTACTCATAATGAGTGTAAACCATTTTACATGTTAACGCTTCGGTACAACTTTGATTGCCATCATCTCTCGAAAATAGTTTAAATATTTCGACAATCCTGTTCTTTCAAAATAGCTGAAATGAACGTTTTTGAATGAATGAGTTTCGCGCATCACTTCATTTGACGCTACTCTTCCTTGTTTAATTTAACGCGGCTAATAGTTAAAACAAAATCCCCGTGTTTTGGCTCGTCTGCTTCGATTAAAAAGTCGAGCTGCGGCGTCGTTGTAATGTAATCGTCGTCTCGTGCAAAAACTATTTTGTAGCACATTATTAAAACAATTTAAAAGGTATCAACACGAAACTTTGAATACTTGATTATTATGACAATTCACGAATTAACAATTGTGAGTCTTGAGGCATTATCCTTAAAGCAATATTTCTAGGAAGACATGCCCTTTTTAACTTGAATGTTGGTTCTTGACAGCCGTTGGTCTTAACAGACGAGAGTTTTATTGTACGTTATGTAGTTTCTGTAATTTGTACCATTGCTCACACTGTGCAACAAGCGTTGTCCAAATTTGATAATTTAACGAAGGATATATGTGCCTTGATATATTATATGAATATGACCAATTAGAACTTTATTATTTTTCTGACGTAACAAATGTTCCATTTACGGTTACAGCGAAAAAAATACCCCACCCACACCTGCAGAGCGTAAACAAATATTTTGAAGTAAATTACCAGCGCAAACTGATGATAAATTATTCAGTCATTCTCGTAGGGAAGGAAAACTTCCCTTTTATTTCTTTTACCAGCATTTCATGATACATTTCATTAGTGAAATTAAAGCGAATAAGTTATGTATTTGTTGATAGTGACTTTTTTGAAGGGAAAAGGGTGTGTATGTGTGCGTGCGTAGTTTTGCATGTATAAGGTATCAAATAAATGTAACATAACTGATCACTTCAGGCGAAAGTAAATGGGGTTAAGTCTTTTTAATTTAAAAAGATGTGAATTTGTTTTTCACTCTTTAATATTTTATCCATTTATTTTGAAGGGGTGAACTTTTCAATATACATATTAACAGAATAAGTACCAAAACAAACGTGATCATCCCTGTTTCATTATCAAAATTCCTTTTTTTATAAATTCAGGGGAAGACAAGAAGAGTGTTACTATAGAATTTGATAACCTCAAGGAGAAGAAGGACAACGGAGACGCCGTCAAAGATTCCGGCCACTTATTAAATACATTTGCGAATCAGGACTTTACATTCGAGTAAGTACATCTACTTAATTAACATAATTATGTTGTTGTTCCGGGTCAGAGTTTATGACAATAATAATCCTATAGGTTTCAAATTATGCTTTTCCGTCATGGATTTAGATTACATACAACGAACTAAATTAACGAATCTTATGACAGTATGTAATTAGAATATAGCTGTTGCTTTATTTTATATACTAATCCATTTTATTCCCAAGAAACTGGCTAAATCCCGTCACAATGCACCGTCACAATGTACCGCTGTTGTGCTACCATTGTGAATATGATTTTTCTTGATTCATCCGAAATCATACATCATATTATTTATTTATTAATTTATGTATTTATTTATTTGTTTATTCATTCATTCATTCATTCATTCATTCATTCATTCATTCATTCATTCATTCATTCATTCATTCATTCATTCATTATCCCCCGCCGAAAAAGCGGCGGGGGATATAGTAATAGTCTCCGTCCCTCCGTCCGACCTTCCGTCCGTCCGTCCGTCCTTCCGTCCGACATTTTTGTCCGGAGCATATCTCTAAATGTATTTGAGTTATCAACTTGAAACTTCATAGGTGGATAGACCTCATTGAGGAGGAGTGCAGTGCACAAGAATGATAACTCTACCCTGCATAATTTTTGAGTTATTGCCCTTTGTTATTTTTCAAAATTGATTTTTGTCCAGAGCATAACTCAAAAAGCCTATGAGATATCAACATGAAACTTCATAGGTGCATAGATCTCACTCAGGAGGTGTGCAGTGCACAAGAATGATAACTCTACCTTTCATAATTTTTGAGTTATTGCCCTTTGTTATTTTTCATACTTAATTTTTCACCTGAGTGGAGCATAACTCAAAAAGTGTTTGAGATATCAACATGAAATGTCATAGGTGGATAGATCTTATTGAGGAGGAATGCTGTGCGCAAGAATGGTAACTCTTCCCTATACAATTTTTTAGTTTTGGCCCTTTGTTCTTTTTCATGCTATTTTGTCCTGAGCTTATCTCAAAAAGTATTTGAAGTATAAACTTGAAACTTCATAGCTGGATGGATCTCATTGAGGAGGAGTGCAGTGCACAAGAATGATAACTCTACCCTGCATAATTTTTTAGTTATTGCCCTTTGTTATTTTTCAAAATTAATTTTTGTCCAGAGCATAACTCAAAAAGCCTTTGAGATATCAACATGAAACTTCATAGGTGCATAGATCTCACTCAGGAGGTGTGCAGTGCACAAGAATGATAACTCTACCTTTCATAATTTTTGAGTTATTGCCCTTTGTTATTTTTCATACCTAATTTTTCACCCGAGTGGAGCATAACTCAAAAGTGTTTGAGATGTCAACATGAAATGTCATAGGTGGATAGATATTATTGAGGAGGAATGCTGTGCACAAGAATGATAACTCTTCCCTATACAATATTTGAGTTATTCCTCTTTGTGCTTTTTCATAATATTTTGTCCGGAGCTTATCTCAAAAAGTATTTGAAGTATCAACTTGAAACTTCATAGCTGGATGGATCTCATTAAGGAGGTGTGCAGTGCACAAGAACGATAACTCTACCCTGCATAATTGTTTAGTTATTGCCCTTTGTTATTTTTCAAAATTAATTTTTGTCCAGAGCATAACTCAAAAGGCCTTTGAGATATCATTATGAAACTTCATAGGTGCATAGATCTAACTCAGGAGGTTTGCAGTGCACAAGAACGATAACTATACCTTTTATAATTTTTGAGTTATTGCCCTTTGTTATTTTTCATACTTAATTTTTCAATTCAATTTTTTTCTTAAAAGTATTTGAGGTATCAACTTGAAACTTCATAGGTGGATAGATTTTACTGAGGAGGGATGCAGCACACAAGAATGATAACCTACCCTGCATTATTTTTCAGTAATTGCCCTTTGTTATTTTCAGCCATCAGTATTCACATAGGTTTCAAATCTGTAATCACTATAGCCATCAGTTTTCATTACCAAAAGACCTTAAAATGGAGTTATTCTGCTCTTCTACACATACATTCTTCCAATGAGCAAACACATTCAGCGGGGGATGGCCATGTTGACATGGCTCTTGTTCATTTTTAAATCAACTGTCAACAAGGATCCCAACGGGATTCCCTACAGCTTATACTTATTACTTGTGTTCAATACTTATTCACGACTTTGTGACGGAGAAAGTTTGATGTGGGCACTATTTGTGTAATATTATAAAATGCATTTCTAACTATTTGAAACAGGGCTCCAGCAGACGACACATATCCGGGTACCAGTATTTCGGTCAAACGATTGACCTTCCAGTCAACTTTGAATAACGGAGCGTCCCTTAAAATTCATATTTATATCTTTAAACAAGCTGGCAACATTACCCAGGAAAATGAAACTGTGGCCGTTACAGAAGGTATTCAGTTTTTCTCTTTCATTTTTAATGAAAATTCTAGTTTTTATAAACATTTGAGCCGTGTCACGACAAAACCAACATAATGGGTTTGCGACCAGCATGGATCCAGACCAGCCTGCGCATCCGCGCAGTCTGATCAGGATTCATGCTGTTCGCTTACAAACCCTATAACAAGTAGAGAAACTGATAGCGAACAGCATGGATCCTGATCAGACTGCGCGGATGCGCATGCTGGTCTGGACCCATGCTGGTCGCAAACCCATTATGTTGGTTTTGTCGTGACGCGGCTCATTTGATTATGATTGTGATCTTGTAACATGTAAGTTTCGTTAATATGCATGATTATAAACTTGTTATTTTAGGGCCACTTGAAACATTTGTTAAACACTAAATATTAAGTTTATAGAATGGACATCTAATATTTAATATAATTTTAAAAGGTCAATGTTAAGATTATAAAAATATAATAAAACATGTTACGATATAAAGTTCATTAATGAGTTGAGCAAAATTCGTTGTTTTTGTATTTTCTGATCGCAAGATCAGTAAATACATAGCTAACATCCACGGTCTAACACAAATTTTCCTAACAGACCTAACAACGCAAAGTAGTTCTCACTCAGAACTGCTTAAAAACCAGCAATTTAAAATAAAGAATAATTTTTAATGTATGCATTTAACGAATTACAGTGCATTAAAAGTTTAGAGTAGTTAATAGAAACATGAGGTTACAATCACAAATTTCGCGGATGAATATCTTTTTTACCCAATGAAAAATGTTCGGCTATTTCCGTAAAGCTTAATCAATGAAAATGCTATTTTTAGCTATGTCGATTACCGAATACTCCAGAGCGTAGTACACATAAATCTGACTGTCGAGTAGTGGAATATATACATGTCGTACTGTTTTAGCGAGAAGATTTTCGCTAAATTATTTTCATCAGTGTTAAACAATAGGTTTATAGTGAAGAAAATACCTTGAAATTAGTAAGGATTACAAGCACGGAATGGAAATTCTCAATTTAGAATTACAATGTATTTGTTATTATTCAAGCTACATATGTATTACTTCACCGTGGTGCAGAGGTAGCGCGCTCGTTTTGGGTGTGAGAGGCCCAAGGTTCAAATCCTAGTCGAGGCAACTTTTTTTTTTTTGAAGTGTCTTTTTTAAGGAAGTAGCCACGATATGCAAGGATAAAGTATGGCTGTCATAAAAAATGAAAATGACCCTTTTATGCAACTCTAGTCATGCAAAATTCCATATGTATCAATCTCAAACTGTTATAGACGCAGTCGCTGCGTAAGATTAATTATAGTATATAAAAATAAACTTATATAGGAAAATACATACAGATAGTCAGTATGATTTAGATTGCAAAGATCAGAAAATACCACAGAGGTTGCAGCCCTTTGATTGTTTAATGGAATGTCAAATGTTTTTATTAGATGGGAAAATGTCATAAAACGTTATTTTCAGATGTCCGAAATGCAATATTTAGATAATATAATGGTCATTAAATTTTTTACAGAATGCAAAGTGAAATATTAAAATTCAGTTTAAAGAAGGAATTAAATTTTTTAAAATAGTAAATGCCAAATTCAATATTAAAAAAATATATAAACTTGAAGTATCCATTATCGAGAATTCACAGTTCAACGATTAAATTACGAGTAATCTGGAATTGTCAATTTAATATTTTAATTTCACGAGCTAATTATTTATATTTCAGGAAATGTCAAGTTCAATATTGAAATAATGAACTGGAAATTCTGCGGTGGAGCAGTATCCTGCCAGCAAAGCGAAGTAGGCAAATACCTGGACATTGATATTGTGATGAAGGGTAAAAGTGGCAGCACCAAGAAAGACGATACTGATGCCAAATACACCTTGGGCGACAGTGGAAGTGTGATGCTGTCAAGAAAGGTAAATACTTTATACATTACTTTACATTGCACCGCATCAGGTCACATTACTGTACATTACATTACATTACATTACAGTACAGTACATTACATTGTAGTACATTACAGTACAGTACATTACAGTACATTATATTACAGTACATTACAGTATAGTACAGTACATACACATTACAGTATAGTATATTATAGTATATTTAAGATAAGTGAATTATTAACTTACACAGAAATGATATACTCACTATAAGCTGTAAGGAGTATCTTATCGTCTATTTATTATGTTTATGTTCTTATTTTTGTTTCATTATATTTATTTTTGGGGGCGGTGTGGGGTGCTATCTTGCCGTCAATTACAAGCGCCAGTTTTTCTCCGGCCAGGAGCCTGTTTTACCTGAAGTAATACAGAGAGGATTGCCGTAGTTTTCTCAAAAATCCAAACAAATATATATTGCTTTTCATTGTCACCGTGTTGACTTATGACATGTATGAAGCATGCTTTTATTAGGGCTTTTCCCTATGCTGTAAATTCATTGAAGAGGTTAGGTTTCTACATAAATTATTAAGTGTTAAGTAATTGTGTCTTAGATTTATAACTTGTTTGAACAAAAGTTTTGACTCAAGGAGATAACAACATGTTGTAAAAATGTCAATCGTTAAAATATTAGTGAATTAGTATTTTGTATGGAAGTCAAAATACTACTTTGTTTACATTTTGCTACCTTTACAACTAATAACTACATGTATGGCGCTACTTTTTCAGTTGTTAAACATCTAACATGCACTTAATCCATTATTTAAACATTATTAGGCGCATGTTTGACATCTTTAAAAAAAAATAAAAATATGGATTTCTGAGGCATAATGTACCATTAAAGCCGATATTCACTTTGACAATATATGTTTGAAAATTTCCCATATGTTGTGAGTCATATGATATGATAGGAATCAGTAACAGATGTTTTACGTTCATGTAAATGTATATATATAAAACCCAGTTGTCGCATGTATAATCATTGTGACTAATTAAAATCGATCAGTCTATAGGAAAAAAATAATTCAGTAAAGTTAATTACAATTGTAAATTTTTATGATCTCAAGTGTTATACATGTATATACATTGTAGTATAAATTACCTGGTTTTGCTTAACACTATGTACTTCGCTAAGGGAAACAAAACAAAGATTGAACTATATAGTATATATCAATCATTTCCGCCATCTTTACAAGTTTCACTATCATGACGTTAATTAATTAAAACTGGCTTATGCTCGTATTTTCTTACTTTTACATGAAGGACAGTAAAATGTCAAGAATGAGCTGATTTTAATCAGACTGTTATCACCTACTTGACCTTAACCTTGTTCAATTTATATGATAGACTCGTCCATTTAGAAATGATTAGTGTTGATTAATTGCGATTCAGAATACATCAGACGAGAATATAAGGTTTTATCAGAATGTCGTCACGTGTATTCAAGCTTTTAAATGGCGACGTACATAAATCATTGTCGCTGATAGCGTTCTGTACAGGAAGCTGGCCCAGTCTATTTCGTATTGATCGAATTTGATAATTTACTGAATTAATTGAATATTTGATTTCTGCTTTTAGATTAAAGTAGATGGTGCAAGCGATCTTGTTGATATGGAACCTTCCTATCCGATGTTTATGAAGCAGGGAAGCAAAGACATCTTCCGGTTCCGGTTTCCCAAATTCACAACCAGCGTTCTTTATGATCCAACTATTTATTTGGCTGTTTCTGACGACACAAGCAGCGCTGTTCAACAAACCGTGTCCGTTTTTATGTTTGCAACGATGGCCTTTTTTGTATTTTTTGTTATAATTGAACCGATTGAGGTAGAAATGTTGTCCTTTTAAATACAAAAAGCAATAAGAAGTGAAACCACTTCGTCAAGAAAAAAGTGTGATCTTGGTATCATGTTTAACTTCAACATTCGTTCTCTTTGATTAGAAACTATATTGGACACAATAATTCTAAATCATCTAAGCCAGGAGTAGTATTAACAGATAAATTTAGGAATTTACAGGACACAACTGAATGAATGCATTAACAATGTGATCTATTAGATGAAAACAAAAATTAAACCGAAATAATACGAACTTTCTTTTAAAACACATTATACTGTGAACATTAAACTGTCGACTGGCGAAATGTATGCACAGATGATCAGTCACAACAAAGCGCATGTTTTTATTCTCTTACCTGTTTATTTCCCTTTTCACACAACGCCAGTAAGTATTTCAGCATTACATCCCTTTGTATTTCTATTTCGTCAACGAAACTATGCGATACAATAAAACTCGTTTCGTCGTTTAGTGGTATTCGTTAATGAGCTAATTTTTGTATTTGATACAATATTTGAGCCGTGCCATGATAAAACCAACATAATGGGTTTGCGACCAGCATAGATCCAGATCAGTCTGCGCATCCTCACAGTCTGATCAGGATCCATGCTGTTCGCCTACCAACCCTATTACAAGTAGAGAAACTGAGAGCGAACAACATGGATCCTGATCAGACTGCGCAGATGCGCAGGCTGGTCTTGATCCATGCTGGTCGCAAACGCATTATGTTGGTTTTGTCGTGACGCGGCTCATTTTATAAATAATGTTGATGTTTTTTCTCCTTTTGCTATAAGGGTGAATGGTGAAATTTGATCTTTATGTTAACTGTTAGAAAGGTGTATTTCTGTTCGTTGTTCAAATCTGTTTGTTGTTCAAATATCATGTGTTCTTTAAAACGTTTTCTACAAGTTTTGCTTGAAGTTATAAGCATTTCATTAGTATATGTACTTCATTGACTCGGACATAGGGAATTGTCTATGAATCATCTTATATTGCAATTTCATCTTACACTTCATTCTATTATATCTTAATTATTTTTACTCAACAAAGATATATAAACTTATCTGAAACATTGTTTAAAGTGGAGTGGTCTACAATGGACATAATTATTTTCCATAAGTATTTTAAATATTAATACAAACAATAGCAATGTATTATTATAATATTTATATTTATATTGCTTGAAAAAAAGTTGATTATTTAGTATGAACATTTTATGATGAATAATAAATTTTATCGGAACATTTTATTTTCTACTATGTAAAGAAACTTGTTAGATCGGATCACGAATCGAACATTTACCGACAACATCCATATATAATTATTTCGTTGTTTAAGTCTGATACTAAATACTATCACAGTAATTATTTATTGCATTACAAACCTGCCATTATAGACCAATTCACTTTAAATATAGATTAATGTTTACAAATAAACATTAATAAAATTAAGTAAGTAAAGAACGACGTAGCCATTTGACCAATTTAATTTGGCAACTGCTTACTAATGAACGCTTACCAATTTAGTGTTTGGAATTATTTCATAAACTGGCGTTTTACTAAACTGATTGAACCGCCTACGTGGTCGAGGGGTTAGAGTCGATGACTTCTAATCCAGTTACCTCTCTGGCGTGGGTTCGATCCCCGGGAGATGCTTTGGTAGTTTAGCGCGGAGGAAGGTAATCTAGTACTGGTGTAACTCTCCAGGAACGATGGTTAGGAAACTACCCGCCTATATGACTGAAATACTGTTGGGAAAAGGCGTAACATGAAACAAACAAACAAACAAACAAACAAACTAAACTGATTAATAGTTAAGCAATTTACCAAACTAAGTATTTATGATTTATTTGGAATACTTCAATCATTTTGGTCAACAAAACAATTTAAATACTAAACAATTGAATGGTGCGAAGTTGGCACAACTTTTAATGCATGAAGATATAAAAAATATATATCTGACATTAAGTTAGTTGTTATTTCGCATTAATAATGAATGATAATAAAACATTAAGGTTACGAATATATTGGAACATTTTGAAATTGAGGTAAATTGAAATGTTTTTGTTTTCTCCTATAGTTATTTGGTATTGTTACAGTTTTTCTTCCAGATGTAGTTTAATTGTCGTTAAAATTACATACGAAATGCCTTCACCACGTTTGTGAATTTGGTATTAATTAAAGATATTTACATGAAATACATTTTGTCTCAGATTTCATGTATAGGTTAGTGTTAATTAGTAAGCATTTCAGCTATTGGACCAATTTTATTTGGTAAATGCTTGCTAATGAACCCAACCAATTTAGTGTTTGAAATTATTTTAATTAACAATCGATATAAGATATAATAAATGATTACTAGTTAGCCGATTTACTAAAGGAAATGTAAATTTATTTGAAATGCTATTATCCTATTGGACAACAAATAATTTCAAACACTAACACTGTTTTGTATTTTTTCATCACACTCTCATAGTTTTGTTAATATCAAAATGTAAAATAGTCTCTTTTTGTAATAAAACAATATGTTATGTTTATTTGGTTTAGTTTGTTATATGTTATCAAACTCCGGAAAAAAAACACATTTCCAAAATTTGGATTTTGTTGAATAAATATTTTTAACCTGTCGTTGCTTTGGAAGATGGAGACTCATTGCTATTTTAAGTACAATATTTTTGACTTTCTGATATATGCTGATGGTATTCTAAAAAACGAAACGTATTTTTCTTGCCTCGTCATAGGGGAAAATGTAAATAATAGTTTCACTTATCCCATTAATGCTCGTCTTGAAGTTTTACATGTTCAACACACCACCTTGCCTGAGCAATGATTAATTTAAAGCGTTGCTACTGAGTAACAATAATGTATTAAGTAACATCAATTATCATATTTATGTAACATTAATCAAACTCAGAAATACAAAGCTCTTTAAAGTAGTAAATCGTACATAGATGCAAAACCCTGCCGTATATGTTACACCGTCTTGGTTTTGGAAGTTTGAATATTTCACCGCATGGCGCTTATTCTTCTTGACGGTTGGCACAACGATAAAGAGTCTTATTCTACGCCTAAATGGGTATCTTATGTCGTATCACAAGGTTCTTTATTTGTTCGTCCGTCCGATTGTACATACTGTGTATCGGTGAAAGGGACAGAGATTAAAAATATGAATTATAAATGCAAGGGAAGATCAAGGAGCCTTCTTATACATGACAACGCCTCTGTTAAACAATCTTCTCTGGCTTCCGTTGTGCACCCTCTCCTGGTGAACAAAATCTTAAAGATATGTCATATAAAAGATGGCAGTGTTTTATATCGGTCCCTCTAACAGTAACATGTACTGGAGGACGATTCTTATCTGCTTTTTACGATTTAGAAGAAGGCGTGTTTTGGTAAATGTTAAATACGTTAAGAGGAGGTGGGCCATATCTTATCTCAAAGTATGTATAATAATAATGATAACTCGTAGCTATTAAAAATTCTAACCAAAGAACAGAACTTTGTGCAGGACTTTTGTATCTCTTGAAAGTGGAGAGATATTTTAATATATATTAAACTATTATTGATGTCGAGAATAAGTGAAAAACTTGTTTTATGGACGATCCATTTTATGGATAAGGTCATTTGTGTTTACTATAAGGAACATTGTTGCAATTACATACTCAACGACAGACACACATCTAGTATTACAAATTAGCTACGTATACCAAAATATAAACAACAATATCAACAAAGAAGGACAGCTTCAATGAACGCATCCCTAAACACCGGCAGGGAATCCAGCAGGACACCATACAGTACAGGACACATGGGCAAAACCACGCAAATGCAGTTGGTCTTTGCACATGGTTTGTTGTTGCTTTAACAAGGGTTTTATCTGCTGAAGTTTGAAGTGACCTTCAAAATCTAGGTAAACTCGGTACTGGGTCATTTTTAATAATCCGACAAACATCTCACCAACTTGTCGGGTTTATTTCACAGGGTTCAACAACGAAACTCATTTTTATGTATTTAATAGTAACAAAAAGAACATGAATTGCAAACAAGTGTCACACTTTATTTAGTCAAAAATTCACATGAAATCTACAAATAAATTTTATCAAGTCAGTCTTTATAATAAAACTCGACAATGAACTAGAAATAAACAACTTAACAAGGAGAATATATCAAAGCTTTATACATGCATATTTATGAAAAATGAACAAAAAAGTTAGTAAATCTACACCGGGTATTCTGATATTTGCACATGAGATTTAAACCATAAGGGATAGATTTGGTGCCGATTCTATTGCCCATTGTCAGGGGAAAAAAAACACTCCATTAAAATCGTATTTTACTTAACTAGAGTTTGCACTTATATTAAAATTTCTCATAATGATATAACTTTCTTAGGAGAAAAATATAACGCCTTTTATTTCCATATGACTATTTTATTAAAAGTGCCTTTATTCATGATTCTCCCAGCACAGAATTTCAAGAGCTTTTGTTGGATGCCGGTGTATAGCCAATGACTTTCCGTTTCCCATTACCCACAAGATATCCCATTATCCACAAGATATGTTAATAGTCAAAACAACGAAACTTCATTAAAACTTATACAAGCAAAAATTCAATCACGTTAGTAAATGTAAGAGCACGAGTCAAGACCACCTAATTATGAAACCATACACATTCCAATTCATAGAAAATAGACAATAAAAACAAAACTGAAAACAGTTGAAAATAAATTTAACACCACAACCTGATTGTAAATATCACAAAACTACCGTAATCTATGACAATAATCTATATACAACACTTTAATTAGTAGTAGAAAGAGCATCGGAACACGAGGCTATCTGAATATTTATAGATTGCCGAGTGTTTTTTTAAGAAAGTCTAACTTTATTTGACCTATGATAGGGAACGCAGCTTCCCATTCATAGTTTATTCATTTGGACATGTTCAGTAAGAATTTCATAGTTTTCAATAAATTTCTATGATAAAAATATTTAACTAAAGGATGAGCAAAGTATAGCTTTATGATTCAAATTTATTTGTTAAAGTAAGTTAAATAAAATTTAACCTTTGACATCTATAAGACCGAATGCAATTATCAATGCAACAAAGACATAATATATTCTTCAGTATTTTTTCGCAGACCTTAAACCTGCACATAAAATATTTTTTGCTAAAAAAAATCAAGATATAAAATTCAAATACCTTTTTGCCTTTTGTCCTAAATATTTAATATTTTCATCCCTACAGCACCTAACAGTTTAGAATTTTCATGCCTTATCCAATAAAAAGTTTTTCATGTCTTTTCCCCCAAAAAATTAAGTATCATATGCCTTTGATTGAAAAAAATATTTGACAATATGAGAGTATATAAATAAAAAATTAAAAATGCACATTGGCTGGTTTATATGTCAAGATGATTTATTACATTATCTATTTATAACTACTATAAGTACGTTCATGTATATTCATTATGGTGAAATGTTTTTTTGACATATGATATAAAAGCTGGACAGTCCAGTTGACGATGAGAGTTGAGTTGAGCTTACAGACAATAAGGCTCGACGTAGATTTTATATTGTTAAAACAATGCCACATCACAAAGAGTCTATCTGTTTTGTCTTCGCACAAGTACAACACCGACACTCGCAGCAAACGATAAAACACTCGATACAAGTGTTAGTATGCCTGACAATATTGCAAAATCTGCCTAAAATATACAGAAACAAGATAATTACGGTCATAAAAATTACTTTTTTAAAATTGCATGCTCACAGAAAATGTTTTACATCTCATTAAATTATTAAGATGGCTATAATTGCCCTTACTGCTCACCTGAGATCCATTGCCAGTCCACAATAAGGCTGGGCAACATTTTAAACAAGAATGTCATTATTCATATAACTTTAATAGAGGTTCACAAAGCAATACTACAAGCAAATTCTAACCTTTAAGGCAATGTAATCTTAAACAAGAAGATTTAAATGTGTTTTCCTATATTCAATTCTATATTAAACATGATACCTTAAGGAGTTGAGCAAATGCAGACACCATGGTTATAAGATAAATATCCCAGGAAAATACCGCATGCTATATACAAGTATCTAAGCAGGAAGCATTGTAATGTAGTTTCTGATGAATGGATTTGAAAAAGTTACTTTTCTATGTTATCTAATGAAGCCTAAGAGACTTCAGTGACATGCATTTTTTTACAACAGGAGTAAGACTTATAGGTCATGCTAGATAGAGAATACTGAAACAGTTCATTAAAATGTATTTTTAACTGTCTGCCATTACCCCATTTGGTGCCTATTTTGGTGCAGTTACTGTCGGATACTTTGGAAGACGGTCTTTAAAGCTTGCCCTGCCTTTTTGATCTTTATTTTCTTATTTTTGTTCAGGGCATGACTCATTTTGACCAATTGGCATGATTTATAACGTTTTTTTTTTTTAAAAAAAACCCACAAAATCACACTTGCCATAGCTTTAGCGGAAGCGGTGGGTCCATGGCAGCGGCATTGGACTCTTAACATGTTCGTAATTAACATTGACTTGTATAAGATATAGACTATTAAACTATCTTCCAGTAAACATCAATGTCCATAGAATCGAAATCTTAAACAAAGCAAAATTTTCACACTGGCAATAGTTTTCGCAGTAGCAGTAGGTCTTTGGCAGCGCCTATAGAATGTTCGTCGTAGAAGCGATGAGAAAAAGTGGGTTTGCTTCTGCCGGTAAGTTTATGACTGAATTATACTTTATGTTCTAATGTTTTACTGGAGACGATTTGAGGGACAGGAGCCCGCATTTGTACTCTCCAAATTTATTACACGTACACGGTGCAGTTCATTGCCATTTATATGCAAATACTACTTTACTGTCTGACCAGAGACGTTACTTTTGTCTTATATAGGTTGGACCACGTACAAATGAGTGCAAAGCGACTGCTAAATACACTGGCATTGCATCGTATGTATTATACTTAAACAAAAACATCTATATCTTTTAAATACTGGAAATTGTAACTGCCTGTTTATACCGGAATTGACAAATATGGTTACAACACAGACGGCGGTGAATAGTGCGGTGGGCCAAATACTATTTATGTAAATGTTAAGGGTTTAACTTGACATAATGCAATAAGTTATTGAGTACAACCCTATTGTCACTTAGACATCAATTAAACGTGTTTATTAGGTGCTTAAAACAATATACATAAATAGATGTCCGATCTTGCTTCCATTCGAATTTCTTTAGCGGTATTATCATAGAAAAGTCCACGTTCAACAAAGTTTTTTTTTCCATACAAATATATAAAAAAGCATACTCGTAAGGATTTACATAATATGCCACTGTTTTATATTACCATACTGTGAAGTAGTACTTTCATTAATCAATTTTTATTTACTTCATCCTGACAGCGGAAGTTATATTTGTGGAAAGATTTTCTGTTCATTACTTAAAATCACATGCGCGTAATAAAGATTTGGCAATGATATTGTTATAAACTGAGCTCGTCATGCGAAGCTGCATGTCTTATTATAAATTAATTTTGTTTTGAATGGTACACTTTTTCGGGAGATCTACTGCCTGTTTTAGAGAATTTATAAATGAAAGTATATTCTGCAATAAAAGGGTTACTTTTGAAGCACACAGTGGGGATCACTTACCTCCATGCCATGTCTATGGAGTATTAGCCAATGATATGAATTTTGAGTCGAAAAAAGGTCACTATACGGAGGTCAATAAGAACCTAAATGTACAGTAACCTGAGACAATAATGAAAAGAGGGGGTGCCACAAAGTAAACCATTTCGTAAATGCTCAGAAGTGCTTTCAGTACTTTGATTTTTACATAATTCATAAATGCTCAGAAGTGCTTTCAGTACTTTGATTTTTGTAGTATTCTATTTTCATGCCGAACCTCAGTTTTATTCTTAATCCAATGTAAATTATTGTATCATCTTTTTGTAAAATTCAGAGTTATCGAGTGAAATTACTTATTTCACTATTTTTTTTATTGCTTAAACTTCTTGGTATCATTTCAAGCATTTTGATATATTTTTCATAAAATTCGGTCCAGTAATAAGAAAGTTTGATTTTTGTGATAAAGTGCAAATTTATTTATGGTCTAAACATTTGTTATTACGGGCCTGTATATTTTGTTAAACATGCTGTCTGGAATGCAAGAAAAAATGAAAGTTATGTTTCACGCTTTCCACTCAGGGTAACTATGCATATATATTGAACGATTTTAAATCTTCTTTGGGACTCACATATAGACGTTTAAAGACGCACAAGGTCATTATGACAGACATATATATTCTTGTGATGTAAATTTTTAAGCTTGCGCAAGGTAAATTTTTCTTTTCTTGTTGTTTTATTTAGTAAACTTTTGATATTTCAGAATATCGTATTTCAGTTAAATTTTTCATTAAATATTCGCTTAATAGAAATTTTATTTTGCATTTTGACAGTAATTTTTCGTTCTCTAATATTTCGTCTTCTGTTGATTTATGACTCTAGTGTTTCATTAATTACTTGAATATTGGTAATCTGTTTATTATTACTGATAGTTGTTGTTATGTATGGAAGTCCGTAAACGCCTTGAATGCACGTTATTTTATCATGCATATGTTTCATTTATATTTACTTAAATAAGTTTTCATGTTCTTGTTTAATACAGAAAAAGTCATTTAAAATTTAGCCTGCTGCAGATGTTCTCTTTATATAATTTCCTATTTCTTTAAGTAATTTTCTTATCACTTCATCATCATTATTTTTTGTACGAAATAATATGGATTCGATTTAAAGATTTCGTGGCAACCGGTCTGGCTTCGTGTTTTATATCTTACAAAGTGATACGATATATAATCAACGTTGAATACATAATACCAGTGTGTATGGCGTTCCATAAGGGACATTATATTTTTAGAAGCTTTGTTTATAGGAATCCGACAAAGGTCCGGCTATTCTAAAGGGACATACTTATATCCTTATATTTGTGTACAATGGATATTTACTGTGTTTTATATTTTGTAGCTTCTACTCGGAGGATTCACCTTCAATTTTGAATCACGCATGTGTTCAACATAGCGACGATAGTGGAGATTGTGACGTAGCGAAGCAGTCTTCGATCTTTCTGCTTTGAATGGGTCACATCTGGAGATTGTGACGTAGAGACCATACATCCACAGTCTTGGATCTACACTCTGTAGACAGTACATAATCGATCTTTCTGCTTTGGATGAGTCACATCTCAAGCATCAGTGAATACGCCACCGGGAAAAAGTGCTTTTCGACAGGACATTAGAAACGTGACACGGAACTTTATTTCTTTTTCTTTTTTCAGTCATTTATATCATTTGTTTTCATTATAAATAATCATTTATTTTTTGTAAATAAATTTGTTAAATAGTTTGCACTGAGTTGTGCTTTGTTTTGTATGGTAGTTGTGATCAGCCTGTGTTCCACCGTAGTCCATATTGTGACAGGGAGTTGGTTTTTAAAAGTATCATACATACGATGCAATGCCGGGTTATTAAGTTGTCGCTTTACACTCATTTGAACGTGTTTTACCCAACATGTCTTGGCTGTGATATGCAGGCTTCATAACCTCAGATCCCCCTTGAAAATTCCATTATATTTAGTTCCGCCCATTGTTTTCTAGTTTAGGGCACACACATTCTTTTATGTGGGGACCATACGCCGCTTTTCATGGAATGGCACTACTGTGTCACATTGAAGGTTCCATGAAAACCGCCGTATGAACACATCTACGGATGTTTTTACATTCAAAATTTATCATTTTCGTATTTTAATGTTGAATTCTGCTTAAGCCGGTGCTAGGGGGCGTGAACGGTTACCTGCACTTTCCATTACCGTTCATGAACAGGCTCAATCAAACCGAGCCTGCAACATTTTCAATTTTGCCATGTTGGGCTTTCTTTAGGGATTCTGTTTTTCTCTATTTTACCCAAATAAGGTAAAAGTGAAGTCCATCGTCAAACAGAAGAGTTTGCCTAAATGGCAATAAATTGCCCTCTGTGCGTGTTATAAATTGAAAGAGTACATATGTTGGCACCTGACCCGCTAAACGTTTCCAGTATAAAGCATCATTCAGTCTACCAACATTAGCAAACGGCTTCTTCCTACCGCTTCTGCGACGAATACTCCTTAGTCGTTGCCACAGACCAACCGCTATTGCAAAAGCTATAGCCAGTGTAACAATTTTGCTTTCTTTTAGATTTGGTAGCTGTGGACATTGTTATTTAAGGGAAGATAATTTTATAGTGTATACCCAATATTAGTCAATATAAAATACGAGAATATTTAAATACTGCATTTGTATATCCTAACAGATTGTGGCCTTTGAGAGGGTGGGATGTATGGGTAGACAGTGTCTTATCTCTCACAACTAACGCGAATGATATGTATACACAAGTTAAAGGCTACCTATTTTCGGTAGGAACCACAAATCAGTTCAAATTGATTACCAAGTTCATAGCACAATCGATTCATTCGATGTAGAACATTTTTCAAAAAAGATTGCATTTTTATTTCTGTTTAAGGGCCTGCTATTTTATTTTACATAAAACGTGAACCAAATTGTACATTTATGTAGTTTTTGTCGATTGTCAACTAAGTGTACTCCTATAAATTTTGTCAGAATCTACAAGGCAGATGTTGTGTAAAGATTTTAAGCCTCGGT